TGCTTTTGCACCTCCTGATAACTTTTTTCTCCAGCCCTCTTGGGTTTTTTTTCACTTTTGACTGATACCCATTTTGCCATTTCCTTCCCACTTTTTGCTTCCTGATCTCTGTTGGCCTGGCAAAAGCAAACCCTTTTGCATAATCACCCCGTAGTAATCCCCAAACTACACTACTAGGAAAAAACTAGAGGAGCTTCTTAGAAAAAGCTTCCACCTTTTCCTTACTAGAGCTAATTGCACAGATCTGTAGCGTTAAAACCTTTTTTTAGATATAGAACTGGTTTCTTTTTTAGCTGTTTAAGATTGATACTTAGTTACATGAACTAAAATAGATTTTTGTAACTCTTCCTACAAACTTTCCTTTCTTTTGAAAAATTTTCGGTGCTATTAAGCACAGATAATCCACTTGTTCTAGCTCACATCACATGCAAACGACAAATGGGTTTCCATTAAAAAGGAAAAAAGCTTTTTTTTTTTTTTTTGTAACTTCTGCTTTAATCTATGATCTGTAGCTTAAAAATTCTCCCTTTCCTAAAGATATAATCTAGTTTTGTGGATAGGTATTGTGTTGTGTAGCAGCGGAGATGATTCAGTTGTTGTTCTTAGTTCTGTTTGTTGAGGGAGCTGTGGCTTTTTTGCTGTTGGTAAAGATTGGGCCACTGAGAGAGTTGGTGATAAAGAGTTTGGATCAGGTGAAGATGGGAAAGCGTCCGGCTACAGTGAAAACTATTGCTGGTACCATGTCTGTGATTCTCTTTTTTAGCCTCATGAACATTGTCAAGATCCAAAATAAGGGCGCAAAGCTTGGTACAATGTCACCTATGGATCAGGTCCTATGGAGAACCCACTTGCTTGAGGCATCACTCATGGGTATCATCCTATTCTCTTCTTTGGACCCTGTGTTTGCTTGCTTCTTTGTGTTTCTTGCATTTAGCTTCTTATGTTGTGTTTGGTAATGTTGTTTTGGATGGAAACTTGTGTTTTGCAATTATGAACTCAATTAATGTTAAGTCTCTGCATCATCTAATCACTTAACTGTATTGCACAAGCCCATAAGAAAAGGCTATAATCATTAGAAATATGTAGAGCATATGAACCTCATTGACATTTGAGTTTTAGATTACAAATGGAAGTGGTAGCTCTCGAGTAGATAAAACCCCTGAGACATTATTGCTTATGAATCTAAAAGGTGGAAAATCAGACCATTGGAGGTACATTAATGAGAAGTGATGGGGAGTTTGAGTTAAGGATGCATAATTTGATAGCGTACACTTTTGTGGGAAACCATGCATTTAGTAAGAGTACAATGAGAAATTATCTGCATGGCCAGCCTCGCATGGTAAGATATTATTGAGCGTGTGAATAGCTGTTCACAGTGCAGCAGCAAATTGAGATGAGAATCATAGACCACATTTTGTACCAATGAGAACTTTACAGAGACAGTATATGCACCACCGGTTTTGTAAGGTTGCAATTTACAAAATAACCAATAAGTATCGGTTCTTGATTTTGCTTTCACTAGCAGTACACCCACTCAATAAATATGCTACTTCATTTTCTGACTTTCATTGTTTAGTGATGATATTAGTTGAAGTAATAGCATCTCCTTACTGTTTCTTACTCAGTTCAACATAGAATATCATTTCTTTCATGGACCACCTTTTGTACCTATGAGAAATTTATAGACAGTATATGCACCACTGATTTTGTAAGATTTACAAAACGATCAACAAGTATTGGTCTTGATTCTTCTTTCATTAGCACTAAACTCACTCAATGAATATGCTATTTCATTTTCTGACTTTTCTTGTTCGAGGATGATATTAGTTGAGGTAATAGCGTTGCTTTACTGTTTCTTTTAAGTTAATGCAACTTAGAATGCTGTTATCGTGCATCTTTGATTAAATGAGCTGGAAAGGAAATATGTGAACTTTGTTGGGTTGATGTTGAAAGGTTCTGGTGATGTTTGACCAGCTTTAGCCATTATAACTGGTAGCATTAACCTTTTTTTTCTTGTTTCTCTTTGTTGAAAATATTCTTATTAAATGTTGAATAAAATAAAAGAAGGGGAAACCATCAGTGAAATTGTGCACTTCTGTTTGCTGGATAAGGTAGATGTGCACTTTCAAGGGGATGGAAATAACCATACAAGCATCATTCCTTGTTCCCAAAAGTTTGCTTATGGATTGTGAAGCAACTGTTGGTAGTTATAGTTCCCCCCTCCAGCTCTGAATGTGATTTTATGTTTACTGATAGAAGTGCTGATCCTAGATTTGATTAAATATGTGGTTCAGCATATGATCTACCTCAAGAAGTGTGCTCTGCCTTAAAAAGTTGAGTACAATTTCGAGAGTGCGAGTCTGAGTGGTTTTATAGGGATATATATGTTCCATGAGTGTGTACAAGTTTGTCTTAATTACTATTTGTTTGATGTTGGTGCTCGCAGGATAGCACTCCAAAAGGGATGAGTTTTAGGGAAGTTCCTCAAAATTTTAGAATTTGCACTGCTGTCCCATGGGATGACAATGCCAAATGGAGCTTTTGCTAGAAAAGTATGCATTCTACTGCAGCTAAAGGGGAGGTGATATTGGTAATCCAAAAAATGTTGAACCACACTCCCATTGTTTCACCTTTGTTTTTAATTTTTGTATCAAAGTATAGAATAGTGGGAGTGTGGTTAAACTTTTTTGGAGTGTCAATACCATTTCACAGTAAAGGTGTCGTTAACAATAGCTGCTGAATTAACATCTTTTTGCCTTCAAAAGTTGAGTCTGTTTTGGTGTATGCGTGCAAGTGTTAGGGATTGTTTGTCTTCCTATCTTTGTGGTCTCCTGATTTAGGACGAAATGGACTTCTAAGGGAAAGGGGTTTGAAGAAAAGATAAAATATAATAGTACTTGAATCCACAAGAACATAGAAAAAAGAGGAGATCCACCTCTCAAAATTACAATGAAAATTCTCAGTTTAATTCATAAATTGGACTCCTTTGTACAACATTCAAGAGTGCTTATATAGGGACACGAAAGACCCTGTAAGAGTCCTAGAAATAAATCCATACGCCTAATTAACAATTATGACATAACAAGTAAAAAACTATTTACATGAATGATAAAATGTCACAATTATAGGAAATAATTAATAAAATTAATCAATAATTCAAATTGCAAAGAACTCGGGATAATTTCCTCTCCTCGAATTCCATCATCTCTTTTATACTATGGATAGATTATGATTCTAGCAAAAGAAAGCTAAACAGAGATTGTGTATTGATCCTTGCACCGAATTATTGTTTTTGTCAAATTTAATCCGATGTTGCACGTGCTTGATATTACATTTGGAAGAATTAGAAAGTGATTAACTGTGAACTTTTCTGGAGGCTTGTAGGTAATAAATCTAAATGATTTAGACTGAACACCATGGCCTTTTATGCATTTCAGTGTTTTCCTTTATGGATTTAGCACGATGTGCTAATGTATCATGGTTACTCTTACATCTCAAATAGAACATATGAAATGGTGAAGATAATGAGCTTATATACCTGAGGAAATGATTATCTGCCATTGATGAATGTGAAACTAGATGGAGGATGTCTCATAATGTATAAGCAATCTGCTATACAAAATGATGATCAGCATAGATGTCTGAGATAACCATCTCATATTGTATAAGCAATCTGCTATTCCATGTTCACCATGACAAGATGAGGACTTTCTTTGGATAGGCAAAGAGTAAAGGAGAAATATTGGAAACTAAATCATGTGCAACTACTTTGTGTCGGAAGATCTATACTGTTTATTTGAAGAGTCAATGAGCTCCATGGAGTTCATAGTGATCACACATGCCACTTAGTCTCTTTTGGCCCTTCAATAAAGCGTGCCCCAGATTAGCTACTTGTCTCTCTGATTCTTTGGAGAAGTGAATTTGTGATGGATCAACTGCCGTGCGCCATAAGATATGTAGCTTTTATAATTTGATAGAAAAAATAGAGTAGAGCATGGTCACATCCAGATCTAATCATGTGAAAGTTTAGAGTAATCAAACATCAAACATTTAGTAAATAGAAATGAACATGATGTTGGTGGAAATTTTAAATTGATCATGTGTTTATGTAAATGTCATGTGATTGCCAGCATGATAGTTTGGATATCAAGAAGTTGTTGAACCTCTGCCTAACAACATTTCCGGTATTTGTATGTCCGAGCTGAGCTCTTTCTAGTTTTAGTGGCAGTAGTTAAGTTATTCCATGGCTTCTTTCTTTGAGTTCACTACTGTGTATTTCATGGTTTGAACTTGATTGTGCAGGTTTTACCCTGTTTCTTGGGTTCTTAATTGATCGGATGCATCATTATCTTTCGAGACTTATTGGGCTGAGGAGATGTGTGGGATCTTCTAAAGAGGAAGTTGAAAGGCTTCAGAAAGAGAAAATGCAGCTTAAAGAGAAGGAAGACAAAGCTTCCATGGAAATAAAGCTTCTACTGGAACAAATTTCTACTCTATCAGAGAGTTTGAAGAAGTTGAAGCTGGAATCTGAGAAAAAGGACAAGCAGATTGAAACTGCTGAAGCACACGTTGTTTCCCTTCAGAAACAGTGTGCTGACCTATTGCTGGAATATGATCGATTGTTAGAAGACAACCAAAATCTTCAGGCTCAAGCTACAGGACATAGGATTTGAAGAAATTTTAAAAGATGCCAATCAAGTTTTGATAATCAATATCTTTTTTTCACTGGAGATGTTGCAGAAAACATCTGCTTCATTTCATGGAAACAGTCACTTGTTGATGCATCTTAATTGAGTAAAAGAGGACCTGGCGTCTTTTTAGAGATAGGGAATGTGTTGGATTGCTCAGTGTCGGAATATTTTGATAGCAGCAGTTCTTTCCATCTTGTTTTCGCCAAATTGATGTGGGAAAGTGTTTTAAGATTGCTGATGGTGTTCTTGTTTTGAAACAAAGAAAGGGTGTTTGGAACTAGTTGTTCACTTCTTCCTCTCACATGTCCCTTTCCTTTCCTTTCTTTTGAGGGTGCCTATATTTACGTACAGTCTCAGCAAAAGCCAAATATTGAAACACATATGGAGTAGGTTTACCAGATATTGGCAAACCCCATGGTTCAAATAGGTAAAGCAGATAACAGATCCTGATCCTTTTATTCTGCAGGACTTGATCAACACTGAAAACTACAGTCAGGCATTTGATGTTCAAGAGCTGCAATGTTTCTCGCTACACACCTGCACAGGACAAAATGGCTGACTATTTTTGGTTTTCTGGTCTTTATACCGTGTCAAATTAACAAACGTGACTAGCCTCGGTGCAAAAAACTCACAGCTCTTCTAAACTTCACGCTGCTTGGGTTTACGATCTTTTGAACCCTGGTAATGCCAAACACTGGACTGCATGCTCCATTGGGAGACGAAAGTGTTTAGACCCACGAGGTTCCACATGAGACGTCACACAAAGCCTCTGATTATGGATGGGAAACCTGGTCCTTGTGAGCCAATCAAACAAATATATGCTTTTGAGTTGCCGGTCTTTCAGGTCTTTCCTTTCTCTGGCCAGCGTGAAAACTCAAGTGCCCAAAATGATTTAGCTTCAGAACGTGGCAAGCTGAGTAAGACATCCCCATGGAAAGTTGTCTTCTTAGTTGCACCATATGCATAGGTAGCGATTTGTACTGGCACTTTTAGGGGAATCATTTTGCTTGATGAGAGTCATGCAGGAACTGGGCATCTAAGTTTTTGTGTGCCCAATATAGCACCAAGAAGCTGTTAATATGAAGGACAAAAAATGCCTTCCAGAACAGGATCTCCAAAGCTATTAATCAATAAATTTCAATTCACTACTTCAACGTCATGCAAACTGTCTGGGACATGTCTGATAACTCTCATCTCATTATCCAAACTATCCAACATTTGCAAGATTTCTTCGTACTGGTGATGGTTCTTATCTTCCACCAGAAAAGCTTCATGCTTTCCATTCACTTCCACCGCACTGTAACCAGGAACTTTCTTCATCCCTGTTTCTTTCATAATCTTCCTTAAAATAGATACTCTATCCCACATCCTAGCCAAGGAAAAGAAGTTTGAAACCAAGGCATAAATTCCCAAATCATCTGGGTTTAAATCAAGGATTTTCTTTGCTGCCACTTCTCCAAATAAGAGGTTCCTATAATTATGGCAACCTGACAGGAGGGCAACCCAAATAGCTAAACCTGGTTCTGTGTTCATAGATTCTATTAGCTGATAAGCCTCTTCCACTCGTCCTGCTCGGGACAAAAGATCAACCATGCAAGCATAATGCTTCTCGCTTGGTGGGATCTTACATTCATTAACCATGACATTAAACCAGTATTGACCTACATCTACTTGTCCAGAGTGACTAAGAGCCGAGAGAAGAGACGCAAAAGTTGCATGATCAGGGCTTATGTTTGCTTCTTTCATCTTTAGGAATAGAGAGAGAACTTCCTTTCCATCTCCATGGATACCATAGCTGGCGATCATTGTATTCCACAATATCACGTCTCTAGAATCCACCCGATCAAACATGGCATGTGCACAAGAAAGTGATCCACATTTTGCGTACATGTCAATCAATGCGGTGCCAAGAACAAGTTCAAAACCAAGCCTCCTAACAATATATCCGTGTACAGACTTGCCTAGTTTCAAATGCCCTACTTGTGAGCATGCCAAAAGTGCGCTAACAAGAGCCGCCGTATCCGGTTTGAATTCCAAACTCTGCATCTCAACCAACAAATCAAGTGCATACTCTGCAAAACCATTTTGAGCAAAGCCAGAAATCAATGCACCCCAAGAAACAGCATTCTTCCGGGGCATCTGCTCAAAAACACGAGAAGCAAGCTCCAAATAACCGATCTTAGCATACATGTCAACAAGGCTAGTTTGAAGAATAACATCATCCATAAGCATCTCTTTCCTAACCGCATGCCCATGAACTGAAAGACCCAACTTCAACTCTCCAAGATTAGCACAAGCCTGAACTAATCCCAACATCAGAACCCCATCTCCTTCGATCCCCTCCTTTCGCATCCTTCGAAACATATCAACTGCCTCTAACACCTTTCCGTTCTGCACAAGTCCTGTTATCATAGTAGCCCAACAAACAACATCTCTTTTCACCATCTTATCAAACGCCAACTTAGCCTCATCTATTTTTCCACACTTTACATACAAATTCAAAACAGATGACCCGACAAACACATCACACCCATATCCAAAATCCACCGCTCGACGCCAAATTCTCTCTCCAGCTTCCAAATCCTTTAAGCTTGACGATGCCTTTATCGCTACAGTGAAAGTGGAGCTATCGGGTTTAACTCCTTCATTTACCATCTGATGGTAAAGATTCAAGACTTCAGTCAAGTGATATCTCCGAGAATATGCAACGATCATGGCATTCCAAGCGTCTACGCCTCTTTGAGGCAATTTGTCAAATAGGTGGCGGGCCGACTTGATGCCACCAATGCGGGCATATGAAGCTATGACGAGGCCATTGGAGTTTGAATTGGTGAAGAGACCGGTCGTGATTATGAGTGCGTGGATTTGGGTTACGGGGGCTTCATCTTTGCATGCTAAAAGCAGATGTTTTAGGCGTTTTGGCCATGAAAGTGTCCGCATTTTTCTTGGAGTATTGATAATTTGATATTGGTGAAAAATGCAAGAACCTACCTGACTTCAGTAGCCGCTGAGAAAAGAGAAGTGAAAAAGGGAGGGAAATGGAGTTCACATGAAGTCTAATTTGACTACTGTTATTATTATTGATAAGTAACTTAAGTTCTTATAAATTTGATTTTCTGTTTTGAAAATAGTTTTTATAGCACCTTTTTTATTTGCATTTCAAAACCCTTTTGAAAAAAAAATAATTTTTATTTTAAAATAATTTTTTAATATTTTAATATCAAAAATAAATTTTAAAAATAAAAAATATTATTAAATAAAAAAATATTTTAAAAAATATCTATCAACACAATATCAACAATATTAAATTAAGAAATAATTATAATTTTAGAGATTAAATAGTAATTAATTATTATTGTTATTTAAAGATGATTTATTTAACTGTACAAATAATATTTTTTTTATTTTTATTTTATTTACTTAGTTATTTAAAGATGATTTATTTAACTGTATAAATAATATTTTTTATTTTTATTTTATTTACTTAACTATTTATTTTTTTATAAAAAAATATCATCTTAAAATTAAATTATAACTAATCAATTAATATAGATTTGAAGTAAATTTTAATATTAACAATCAAGAAACCTCTTTTAATTTTTATTATTTTAGAATTGTGATAATAATTATTTTTTTAAAATACTTTTTACTTAAAAATATATTAAAATAATATTTTTTTTATTTTTTAAAAATTATTTTATAACATTACCATATCAAAATAATTAACATATCAAAATAATTTGAAAACGTTAAAAAAATATTAATTTAAAATAAAAAATATTTCAACTTTTTTTTAAAATATTTTTAAAATGTAAAAACAAAAACAATAAACAAACATACACTTCATCTTTTATGTTCTATACAATAAACAAACACCACAAGACACACGAGCATTTAACCAAGGCATCCCTATTCTAGTGCAACAAATCTTAGATGTCTTGACTAGAAACATCTGCATTAATGGATGTTTCCCAATTTAACAGAAGCTTCAATATCAACAGACTTTCAGGACTTAACAGGGTACAGAAACTAAGCTAAGCCTTCACAATCCTTGCACATGCATAAATGCTTACTGCTCTTGAATCTCAACTTGTAAGCTCCTCTAAATCATCGCTCCCTGCACTAAGTTGTTGAAGAGCAGTGGCACAACCTTGACAGCATGAACCTCTCCATCCCAAAACATGACAGGTACCATGTTTTCACTTATCCGGACTATAGTGCCAGGGACCCTTCTTCAAGTTCCGCAGTCCTCTAGTTCAAGCCTTTTGGTTCCACCTTCAGTGTATGAGCATCTTAAAAACATATCTTTAACAAGTGGGTTTGAAGTAGGTTAGCCTAGCCCTCCTGGAGAATGGTTTGAAAACATCACTCATGACAAGTTGGATAGCTCGAAGCTGGTTAGCTTGAGCCTGCTCAATGATATTTCGATGCGCAATTTGTCAGCCTGTTAGAGAAGCAAGCAAGCTATAAATAATTCAATAATGCACGACAATCCTTTCTAACACGAGGATTGGGTGATCGGAGACCAAGGGGGCTGCAAAGAGTGAAAACAAGAGGCAGAACATTAAAATAAGGCATTAAACTTACGAGTGACGGATCAAAACAGCAAAGAACTGTAATCGGAGAAGGTTCTTGATGAAAAAGATCCTTTCATTCATAAAAGAAATGAACATTGACATTAGAGTCGTCTTGCTTTCTTAACAGCCCAGAACATTAATCAAAACTAATTTAACTAGCAGGGTTAGAGGAAATGGGCCAATTCTAAAAGAATATTATTCTGCAGGTACATCACTTTCAAGTTACATTATCATGATTTATGCACCCATTACGCATGAGAAACTATCTATCAATAGTTTAAACAAAGATTTTTGTTTTACATCCCTTCTTAAAAATCTGACTTCCAAAAGTGCCAATGGAGTTTAAGCTCTTCTCGATGTAATTAATATCTACTGAACTAATCAATAATCATGTGGCCCACAACAAATTATCATTCATTTCTGTTTACATCCGAGACAAGCTCATTCTTTCAGAGCAAAGTACTGAATGACCTGTTCAATCTGCTGTGAATCATGCTATCTTATATGTGGTGCCATGATACACCTTATTCTCAAATGGCCCGAGAACATCGCTGCTTCTACCAACCTCGGAACAAAATCTAACAAAACTGAATTGAATTAAGTGAAGATATAGCAAATAAAATAGTAGGAAGGCATGTTGGAGTGATAATATGTGTTTGATATTGATGCACATACATACAAATTGCAATCTTCTAAACAATTGCATATTCAAGAAACAACCAAGTCCAACAACAAAGACCCAGACAGAATCAGAAAGGGAAAGAGGGATGCGGAACTAGTACCCAGTAAAAACTGTTCAAATGATCATCTTCCCCCACTTTGGAAATCTTCAATTATACAGCACAAAATGTTGAATCTACGTGACTGGACCATGCTATGTGTAAACAAAAGCTTACACAACTGAAAATTTGTTAATTCAGTCAACATTCTCATTTTCTGATCCAGACTCCTCGCTTTTGTCAATCTCCACGGACCTTGATTTACTAATCAGCATATCATGGCGCCCTAGAAAAACAAGATCAAGAAGCTTTCTCCTAACATCATAAACTGGATTAGGATCTATCAAACGACCCCTCTCATACGCTTCTCTTAAGAAAACTGTATGTCTCTTCCCCTTAGTAGACAAATAAAACATGCCTGGATGATCCAAGAACAAATCCCTTATGTTCATATCAATCCCGAAACAATTCCTGAAATGACTGATCTTCTCCACTTCCACCATTTTCTCCACTGTCAAGCTCAAGAATTCATGCACAATAGCAACTGCCCGTTTCTCCAATCCCTTAAGTCCTGCCTTAGTCTTCTTCTTCTTGTCCATCAAGTCCTCATAGGGTCCTAAATAAGGCAAGCTCTGCCATTCTTTAACTTTCGCCCTGAAAGTCTTGCTCAACCTCATTCCTGGCGGATACACATGTTTAAAACTATACCGCATGTCCATTCTATCAACACTACAGTCCTCCCTACAATACTCCGTAACCCTCCAATTTTCAACAGCTGCCGTAAAATGATTACCAGGAAATTCACCAACCAGCTTCAAAACATGTGTATGGGGTTCATTTCCATCACAAAGTCTAAAAAGGTTCGGGTTTTTCACTATCACCGAATCCTCAAAGTCATCAGGAAGGCCCAGCTCCCTCCAAACTTTAAAAACAGCACGAAGTGGCAGTGATTTGGACGTTGACATAAACAAAAGCCGAACCAATCGATCAACAACAAGAGGCAATGAGGCATTGACAACTTCTTCTTCTTTGCGAGAAATTTCAAGAGCAGTATCAGTTAGTCTGCAAAAAGCCTGGGATTTCGCGGGGTCATAGAAAATGTGGAAAATGTGAGGGTACTTTCTGAGAAACGAAGGTGCGCCGCGGTTCAGGTGGAGCTTCTGAGAAAGTTTTGAAAGGAAATCAAGTGAAATGCATGGAGGAGTTTTGTTAGGGTTTGAGAGAATCAAATCTTGAATGGCAATGACCTTGACAAAGTTTTTATACTTGTCCATTAGCTTCTCAAATGTAGCATCTCTAGCTCTCGATGCTACGTACTGTGCTGACGTTGTTTTCGATCGGATTGTGATAGAGAAGGTAAACGGGTGTTTGAAAAGAGATTTGATTATGTAAGTTCTCATTCTTCACGCATCTGGGCTTCTATGGGAACTTATAACAAACATGTAAAAGGCGCGCAGGTAGGAGTCGATAGAGGCTATGGTAGTGAGCACGAGAGGATGTTGAGTGTTATTACGATGTCGTTGACAAATAAACACTAGCAACAAGTCATAGATTACGTCGGATTACTTACCATAGCCATATTTCTTTGAATTTGGAGCTCTTTGTCTTCGATGACCATCGCTTTCAAGTCTCAAGGAGACCCCTCGTATTTCTACAGTAAAAAGCCAAGTGCAGTAGGTTACCAACAAGCTCCTCTTCTATTTATTTTTCAATTCAGCCCCTTCCCTCTTTTTCTCTTATTCTTTTCTTATTTTTTAAAAAATTATCTTTTGATTTTTTTAATAATAATTACAGTTCCTTTTAAATCGAGGAAGCTAAATTATACTAGAACAGTTTTATATAATTTAATTTTAAATTTGAATTAAATAAAAAATCAGGTCTAAAGATTTTTTTTTTCCCGTTAGTTCTATCCCTTTTTCCTCTTTTTTTTATTGATCATTTTTTTTTTAAAAAAAAAACGAGCTAAAATCTTGAACAGAACCTTGGCTTGTGCACATTAACAAATTTCAAGCATCGTGCAGGGTCGGATTTAATAACTATGCTATAAAATCTTAGAGATAAAGTAAAGAGTCTAATTCTCCGTTGTTTAAGGATGCAGCGGCTTCACAGCTCGTTGATCAAGAAAGAAAGAAGAGCAAGAGCATCAAGCACTAATCAGTGATCAATAACATGGCAGAAGAAATCACCGAATCTCCAAATCACCCACCACCAGAAACACCGCCAACCCCACCATCTGAACCGGAATTCGACTCGAAAACCATGCGCAGAACAAAACCGGGGTTGAAGCGCCTCTTCCTCACTTTCACAGTCCTTGTCTCCTTCCTTTTAGGTTTCCCTTTTTTATTCAAATCCGTTGAGATCTACCGCTCTCCGCTTCCTTTCCAAGACATCGATAGCCTCTCAAACGACGTCGTCTCCAATCCATTCCTCTTTCCTTGCCATTTCCAAGCCATTCTTGTCCCCTTCGATCCCAAATCGTCTTCAATTGACCTAAATTTAGACGAGCTTGAACTCTCAATTCGCTCTAAGATTACTAAATTAGCCTCCAAAGGAATAGCATCTCAATGCGGAGCCTGCACCAACAACTTCACTCTCTCGCTAACCCTAGACGACGGGGATTGCACGCAATCTTCGTCTAAGTTTTACAAGTGCGGCGCGATCCGAGCCGTTGATTTGGATTTCGGTGACGATGAGAGTGTCGATGAAGCTTTGGAGTCTGCTGGTTTGGATTCTGGCGGGAAAGTGTATAGTGTGGTGGTGGTGGTGAATGGAGATGGTGTGGAGGGAGTGAAAGTGGTTGTTGGGAAGTACCGGCACGCTTGGATTGTAGGGAGGGATTGGGGAGTTGAGGAAGTGGCAGAGAGATTGGCGGAGATTTTTGTCAGAGTGTTTGTGAATGGCGGGAGAGAGGAAGGGTTGATTCATGGAGAGTTTATGCCTGTTGGTGCTGATGGGAAGATTGTTCTTTCGTTTAACTTGCTCAATGCGGATCCCAGTGATTGGACTTACGATTGGTAAGAAAGCTTCGCTTTCTTGTAGTTCTTTATAGCTTTCTGTCTAACTCGGTGGTGATTAGTGATTGCAACTAGCATCTGAGTGATTAGGTGTCGTTATGGGTAGGTATAGTACATATACATGGAATTTGTGTTTGCTTGTTATCTTGGGAACTATTGTAAATAGGGATTTAGTTGTCTGCTCAAAGTTATTGCGTGTTCAGTTAGTCCATTGTATTGCAGGGATTTTCAGAAAATAGATGAAACTCTGTTGGCTCCTATGATTGATGCGTTGGGACCGATAGCAAACATAAGCGTGGAGAGCCAAGTAATGAATCATCCTTGTTCCTTAATGATTTATGGATTCCTGGTAATTTTGTTTGCAGTTGAAATCTTACTGTGTTTCCTCTTCTTGGTGATCTTTCTTATGGATAGGTCTTGTACCATACTCCAAAGTTTTCAGTTTCTTCTTGGGATGAAAAATTAGGCGGCTATATTTTTAGTACAAAGGATCTTCCTTTCTTTGTAAGTTTCTTCATGTTCTTGAGCTTTTTTTGTGGGAAACTAGACAGTTAGACCATTTAACTTTGCTTAAACCAAACAACACCTTGGTCCTAGCCCTCAGATGATTTGCTTTGGTTGTATACATTTTCTTACTCTACTCACTGATGATGGAATTTTGATCTTGTTATTTTGTCTAATGTTTCTAATGTTTTCAAATATTTTTAATAGGTGAACTCAAATGAGTGGCACTTGGATACTTCGATTGCTGCTGGTGGGCGATCGAAAATCTTGCAATTTGTGGTGTACATTCTTTTACTCAATCTCCTTCCCCTTTTCAAATGACTTTTTCGTGTTTGTTTCTTGTAACAAAGGCTTAATCTCCAGTCATTAGTTTAAGGAGAAAAAAGGATTTTGTTTCATCCAAAGCTCGCTATATCAATTCTCTTTCCTTTTTGTTTCAGATATGTGCCATCTGCAAAGGAATGTCCCCTTCTTCTACAGCTTCCAAATGGAGAGATTTCTAAAACAAATGCCTTTATATCTCCAGTTAGTTATCACACATTTATTGGCTTCATACTCAATTGTTTATCAACCAATGGTTCTTACAAAATTATTGCCATACATTGTGATTTGTCTCTAAATGTCATATCACAGATGTGGGGAGGTGTCATGGTGTGGAATCCTCAAAGCTGTTCAAGGGATTCAGACAGTGAGCTTCTTGTTAGGCATATAATGTCTCCTGAGGTCAGATTTTAATCTATCAAATTATCCTAGAGCGTCTAGTCTACATATGCAATTATTTTTCGTCGGCATGAAAATTGGCCTGGGTGTTCCACTTGAAACCCAAATGTTCCCAATGTTGACTCCTTTTTTATTCGATCTCATATGTCATGCCAAGTTCAGTATCTGCCCTGTTTGGCTGAAACATGCCTTCTCATTTAAATTTTATCACTGTGTTGTCAAGTTTGATAAATTGAAGTTTAAAATGATATCCAAAGTTCATTGAAGCATGACTGAAATACCAGCTAGTGGCTTTGAAACTTGTTTCATTTTGGTGGCTTATTTGTTTTATTGTTCATTTTACAATCACACAGATTCCCATTGGGTTTCTTATAAAACCTTATTCTAGGTTCCTGGCAATCTAGTCTACATCTATCATCCAAGTTTCTTGTGGTATACATTCAGTCAGTACTTTTGCCCTGTTATGCTTACAAAGTCTAAGGGATACTGTTGTCAAACCTGCTTTGTTTGCTAGTTGATTCGATCTCAACTTAGTGTATAAAGTTTAGAAGAGAAATAATATGCCTTTGCTGCTTATTTATTTCCAGTATTACAGAACAATCTGCAACTTTTTTTTGGGCTGGGGAATCAAAGTGATGTATGTAATTGAGTATTGTACGAAATTGTATGTATTTGTTTCTCTAGCTGAAGTGACTAGAAACCCGTGTTCTATTATAGCAGATTGCTTCTATTTATGTATCTCAACTTTGATGCTTGCATCTTCCGAAACAGGACCTTCAGAAAATTTTTGAAGTTTTTGTGGGGCAATTCCGACAACTTTTTGGTCTAAAATCTGGTAGTCTTCATGTGGGTGCAATGGGCACGTACAGTCTTTTAGCCAGTGAAAAAGGCTTCACAGAATGGTGAGAAAATGGTCAAGAATATAGGGATTCATAAATATGCTCTATTACCTGTACTTTTCATTTACTGCATATAAAAAACTATCTGTAAGTACTGCAGTAGAAGCTGAAAACAGCAATTTTCACCAGCTGGCTGTTAGTCATTGTGAAATTAATTAGTTTTGTTCTAGAATTCTTCACACCTCATTTTGTTGCTCACGTGTTTTTCTTTTACTGAATTTTTAAGACTTCTATATCTATAGAATTTGTCTATATTAATTATGAAATTCTTAATGTCTTGGAGAACTCAAAGTAGTAGCTCAACATGAGCATATTTCTCATTGATCATAATTATTCTGCAGGGAATTGGATGTCTTGTCACGGCAACATACGTGTTTTAATATTCACTCAAGTGCCACAACTCTGGGATCTCTTTCAAAATTGGTATGTTCAAGCATTAATTACCTCACCACCATGATTTGACTAGATTCTCTGCTAAGATTATGACAAAATATTTTGTGCAGGTTCAATCATTGCCTAGGATGATTATTATGGATGAGATAGGAAAGCAGGTCGGTTGTCAGTTGAATGCTTGTTTCTGTTATTTGTTTTCCCATGAGCACCGCATCCTTAATTGCTAGTGGATTAATTTATGTATGCTCTGTGAGTTTAGAGGATAAGGAACCTGTTTGTTTTGCTTTCCGAAATGCATTCCAGATTTCGAAAGAGAATACATATTCAAAATTTCATTTGGTATCAATCAGTAATTTATGTTTTGAAAATTTTAATTTGTATTTTACTGTAAAAAATGAGAATTCAGAAGATTATCAACTGGGCTGCTTTTTGACAATATCATGACTTGTAAATCTCCTTGAGGATTTCTTTAAGCATTTATTTTCGAGTCCTAATAAAATGAGGATATAGTAAATATTTCCTATTTTTGAGCCAAGACTTGTTATGACCTTTTTTAGATTTTATAAAATAATTTCCTTTTTTGAAGCCTTTTTAAAATTTTTAATTTTATCAAAGAATTATTTGGTATCTATATATCTGTTCTTTTTGTTTTTTTGGCCATAAATGGTCTCTGTAATTTTCAATCAAAGTCTCTTTTATGGAAAAGTTCATTTTTTTTAAAACAAAATCAATTCCTATTCCTAGAAGGTCCCTCCCGATACAAACAGTGCATCTTAATTTCCAGATAAGCAGGAACGTGGGACCAACTCTGTTACTGTAACATGTAATCGTTGTTATTTCTCATGCTAAATTACAGAGTATATATTCTATGTTAGTCTTGGCCATTTCATTCCCAAGGCTTGTTAATCTTTGTATTCCAAATTTACCTAAAGATTTTTTTCCTGGAATTTACAATTGTCATTGTTTATTATCCTTTGAATCTTGTCCTGCTTGAGTTGTCATTTGTCGTGATATTTTATCTCTTCGTACAGGTAAAATTTTCCCTTGAAGCAGCAAAATTAGCTCGAGTTAACGCCTCTCTTGGATTTTACGATGCTTCAGCTGGTATGTTCCTATGCACTACTTTGTAGCTCCATTCTTGTTCCTTCAGATGAGGATTTCCTGTTAAAACTTTGAATCATCAACGG